AAAACCCCAAAACCCCAAAACCCCGTGAAATAAAAAATGCATTGATTCTATAAAAAGTAGATCACAAAATATCCTTTCCAAATCAAATTTAATATATTTAAGTGATTGATAAATATTAGGGTAAAGATGTAAGATTTCTCAAACAACAACATCAACGACACTCAGAATTCGATGAACTTCACTTTTTTTGTTAAATCTACAGGTTCTTTTAGAAAGCTCGCTGAGGACTTGCATAAGCGTACTAAGTCCTACTAGCAAACTAACTTCAATACAAAGCTTAATAGAAATTCTATTTCGGATTTAATACTCTCATCAAACTCAGTTCATAATTAGCATTATCCAGAATAAAAGGAAACTGAAACATTTGGAAACTCAGATAAAGATCATGAACTTAGAGATTTGCTTCTTAAAAAAGATAATACACATAGTATGAAGGATACATTCAGAGAAACATTCAATGTTGATAATACCTCAGTTATTGAATTCATCAAGTAATAAGAGAGGAGGTAAATAGAAAAGTTTTAAAATCTTCAAAATTCTAAAATATAGTAAAATACATATAGATACAACGTATCAAAGAATCAATAAAGCAATTTTAAGTAATATGAATATGCTGGTGGTGTAGCTTAAAGTCATAGGCTTATCCCAACAAATTAGATGACTATTTCTAATGCTAATGAAAGTACTTAACTTCCACCATCTGAAGTAAGAATTGATGATATTTTCGCTGATAGGAGTGGTAATAGAAAATTCAAAAACAAGTATAATCACCTTGAGAAGAACATCTAGAACTTAAAGTATATCAATAAATCATCAAATCAAGTCCCTTAAATTAGACCTCCTTCAGGTCTCAAAAAGACTAAATCACATTCAAACCTTTAAAAATTTTATCCAATTAAGTAATAATACTAGTTTAATATCAGTGAAAATCCTGATCAAAACTATCTTAATATAAGTGAAACATAATAGCCATAGTAATATTATTAACCTGCATATAACCCAAAAATAAAACTCAAAACTATAAAAAAGCCTTTAATTCCATTATCTAAATTGCCTCCTGAATTCATTATGAATAAAAGAATGTCTAGAAATAAATCATAAGAGATGTTTGCTCTTAACGATATTATTGATTTTTCAAAAAGGGATCGTGACCAAACTAGAAATGAACTTCAAATTAAATTTACCAGAGAGGCTAACTTAAATCAAAGAATAGATTCAATAATAAGTTAAAATATGCTTAACATAAATGACCCAGACCTCTATCAAACTATTGTATTATAAAAAGAAAAAGATAGAATGGTAAATGAGAAACTTAAAAATACATTAGGATTCCAATCTAGGAATCGAATGATTGAGAGTGAATCTTTCAGGAGTCTGAGTTCAAGTAGAACAAGTCTATATATTGATATTAATCCTATAAAACAAATTCATAATGAAGATAGAACTATTAATCAGCAGTTGGATACATTTTATGAAACAAATGGTATCTCTAAAAAGAGAATGAGCAAGCAATACTAATCAAAGTCAGTCTAAAAGTCCAGATAATAATCAAGCAGATAAACTGATCTTGATGATGAAGAACTAGAACATAAAATAAAAAAACTTCATCTTAAGATTAGAAAGACTCATAAAAGAAAATTACAAGAATTCATCGAAAATCATAATAGCCATATTGAGGAGATAACTAATATAAAGAAGTAGCATTAAAAGAATTTAGAGGATAGATTCAATTATAAGGAGTAGGATTTGGATTAAGAAAAAATCATGAAATATGTGCACCATGGCAATTGTGTAGAAGTTTACATAGATGCAGTTCAGAGAAAGAATAGTGTTGAATTCCTAAACTCAATTAGAGACTAAAATGGTAACACTCTATTGCACATTGCTGTAATGGAAAATAATTATGATATGGTAGAACTTCTGATGTTTTTAGGGCTTGATATATACCAGAAGAATCTCAATAAAAGAGATGCTGAATATTTAGCAGACGAGTAAAGAAGATAGGACATGATGAACCTATTTAGATTAAAAAAGAATAAAATTAATCCAAAGTTCAACCTATGGAAAATCAGAGAGTATGATAGAGTGTTCAAATTAAGAACCACTCTTCATAATAGATACTAAAATATGAAAATATGAATGAGATATCTTGATATATCAAGGGTGTCAACTAAAACAAACCTAATTATTTGCTAAATATCAAGAATCATGAGATAAATTATAGATTATATGCTTAATTTTATGAATATCTCTTATAAAAGCTGTTATTAAAGCTAAGGGGTTTTGGGGTTTTGGGG